ACAAGGAACCATGCCCTTGGACCACATCCTGTGCCGTCTTTCCGACAAGCTGATCGGACAGTGATGACTGAGCCTTCTAGTGAATGCACAAAGCCATTTATCAATCTATTGGATAAACCAATCAAAGAGGTGTTTGAGATTGTTGACAGTGATGATGAGAGCTTGAGCAGCAAATCTGATAGCAAGAAGCTTGATTTATCCTTGAAGCTTTAGGACTAAGAAGATGTTATCTGTTTTTTCTTTATTTCTTATGTGTTGTTTCATTGTTTTTGGTTTACATCTTGCATGCAACAGATTGTTCTCGTTGCTCTATAATGCAAGTATGACAGCAAGATGCAATTTGTAAGAATTTTTCTTTAGTATAATATATCTCATTGCAACCGTAAGATTTTAGTGATTAATATCTTATGATACTGAGTTTGAATTTAGAAGAAGACACGTCAACTCGTGTTGTTTGACAGTTGTACACATTCTCTATGTAACAGTTTTAAATTTGATTACGTGTAATTGAGATAATTTTTGCTATATAAAAATAACTGCATATCCGTATAACTGTCAAACATCAAGTGTGTAATTGAGATGATTCTCACTATAAAAAGAAAACCGCATCCCAAAATTAGTATATACGTACATCATTATTGCAATATAGTTTTTACATACATTTCGGTGGTTAATGCCTCTACTTAAGAAGAGATAATGGCATCAATCAATGTGCTGACAAAACTCTCTGAATTCAAAATTGTCCCATCGTATATCATTGCCATGAAATCATGGAAAAGTCTATGGTACCGAACAGGTTTTTCTGTATCGTACCACGTCGTTTGTGGTGGCTAAGGCGGTTTTGTTATGGCCATGATGAATAAAACAATGGCAGCCGAAAAACGGTTGTAAATCCACCTTAAATTGTGGTATCGGCGATTAAAAAATGGTGATAAATTTACTTTAAAACGTGGTAACGAGGGGGGAGTCAGATATCTTTTTCGGTAAGGATAATTTAAACTATATTAATATTAAAATATAAAATATTCACCAAAATATAATTTTATTAATAAAACACCAGTTAAAGATGCACTTCATATATTTGAGCGATAAACAAAATAGCCAAAAAAAAAAATTATTATACATTTATCTATAAGACGTAATAAAAAAATTTTGAACCGTAAAATTGAGTTCAATTATATATTAAATTTTAAGAAAAATTTTTATAACTAATTCAAAAATTAATTTGTTCGATCACAAACCTAATATTCATTATTAAATTTTATCAAACAATCGAAACTAACTTACACTATAATTATTTTAGTAAATTAAACCTAGGTATATGAAGTACTTAATTTATCACAATAAAACTATTCAAACTACCAAATTAAAATAATTTAGTTTAATTATAATGGAGGATTACAAGTCTCAATTCCAATTCTATGAATAAAAATAAAATAAATGAGACGACTACAAGTCTTAATTATAATTTAACATATAAAAATAAAATACTAGAGAAGACTACAAACCCAAATATCAATTAAATATATGAAAAAATAAATCATAGAAGAGGACTACAAGCCCTAATTTTATTTCAACATAGAAAAATAAATATAAGATTACAAATTCTAGTTTCAATTCAATACATACAAAATAAAATATAAGAGATGATTACAAGCCTCAATTTTATATTTTCAATTCAACAAGTAACAAATAAAATACAACAGAAAGTTATAGGCACTAATTTCAGTTCAACATTTAAAAAATAAACCACAAAAGGGGACTATAAACCTTAATTTTCAATTCTAACATATAAACATAAAACAAAAAGAGAATTATAAGCCCTAAATTTAGTTTGATGTATAAACAAAAAACAAATAAGATGGCTAACATATTTCGTAACATATTAGTTAATATTTAAATACCCAAATTTTTAATATCATATTCTTTTGATATTTACAAGTGAGACTCATATATTTGTCAAAATAACATAACTATCCTTAAATCTTTTAAAAAAATTTCAGCGGGGGCAAATATCTAATAAATTCTAAATTTTTTAAAATCATACTTAGTCTCCAAAAATATTTAAAATTCCAATTGGGGCAGCTGCCCCCATTGCCCCCATTGTGGATTCGCCACTGGTGGTAATCTCGTCTCACATCTAGGTTATAATTTTACCTTTATTATTTGTAACTTAACCTTAAATAATTATAATTTCACAATCAAATGCAGTAACCTAACCTTAAATAGTTATAATCTTACTTTTAAAGATAGTAATTTTATTTTTAATTGTTGTAACCTCACTCTCAAAGTTGTAACCTTACATTTAATAGTTATGATTGATAATGATTAATTAACATCGATTCCAATGACAATTTTTTTTCTATTCAACTCAATTAGGATCTATCATGATTAATTAAGATCGATCCTAAAGCCAAATTATTAGTATTTTTTTTTTGGAATTCCACTCAATTAAGATCTATCATGATTATTCAGGATCAATTCTATTGCCAATTTTTTTTTTTATGCTATTCCACACAATTAAGATCTATCATGATTATCTAGGATCTATCCAAATGCCTAATTATTATTATTATTATTATTTTTGCGATTCCACTCAATTAAGATCGATCCCAATACCAAATTATTATTTGTTACATTCAATTGACATGTAATTTTATGAAATTTTAGGTTAATTTTATGAATTTTAAATTTATAATTTTGAATGTTAATTTAATACAATTGAATGTCAATTTAATGTTATTTTTGATGAATTGAGTGTTAGTTGGATAAAATAAAAAATAGCATTAATTTTTAATTCATAAAATTAACATTAATTTTATGAAATTAATTTTTAATTTTATCCAAATTAACATTCAAAATTATAAATTTAAAATTCATAAAATTAACATTAATTTAAAATTCATAAAATTAACATTAATTCATAAAATGGTAATTAATTTTATGAAATTACATGTCAATTTAAAAATAACATTAACTTTTAAATTAACATAAAATTAAATTCATTTTTAAAAGTTTATTTTATTTTTTATTTTTTATTTTATCCAATTAACACTCAATTTATCAAAAATAGCATTAAATTAACATTCAATTGTATTAAATTAACATTCGAAATTATAATTTGATAGTGGGATAGATCCTAGATAATCATGATAGATCTTAATTGAGTGGAATAGGAAAAAAAAAAAATTTGGCATTGGGATAGTTCCTAAATAATCATGATAGATCTTAATTGAGTGAAATTCCAAAAAAAAAAAATACTAATAATGTTGGCTTTAGGATCGATCTTAATTGAGTTGAATAGCAAAAAAAAAAAATTTGGCACTGGGATCGATCTTAATTAATCATGATCGATCATGACTATTAAATGTAAGGTTACTACTTCGAAAGTGAGGTTACAACAATTAAAAGTAAAATTACTATCTTTAAAAGTAAGGTTATAACTATTTAAGATTAGGTTACTACCTTTGATTGTGAAATTATAAATATTTAATGTTAAGTTACATGTAATAAAGGTAAAATTATCACCTAAATGTGAGATGAGGTTACCACATCTTAAGGTGAATTTACTACCATTTTTCAACCGCCGTTTTTTTTATTCACCATGGCCCACCACAAACCAGGCGGTACGGTACCGAAAAACCATTATTCAGTACCATAGACTCTCCATTCATCGTATAGATTTCACATACAGTTTGCCCGTTATACTGTCACTACTTAATCAATGTGCTGACACATTTTAATTTAGATTTAAAACTGTCACATTCTTTATGTATCAAATCTAAAATACGCGATGATTCTCATTATATAAAAAATATATCATACCGAAATTAAGGTGTATGGCAGTCATGTAGATTTCACCCGCATTTCGCCTACCTTTACTTAAATAGCGATAATGACATCAGTCAACGTGTAATAAGTTTTGTGAATACAACACAAAATGAAATTAAGCGTCACATTAATATAACTATCCAATATTTAGAAAACACCATGCAAACTCTTTAATATAATTGAGATGATTCTTGTTATTAAAAACAAAACCTAATCCCACTTAAGAATAGACAATGACATCAATCAATGTGCTGACGCATGTGCTTTAGATTTAAAACTTGTCACGTTTTGTATTAATGTTGTCATATAGATTTCACATATATTTCGCTTGTTACTGCAAAAAAGAGATAATGACATCATTCAATGCATAGACGCAAAGACTTTAAATTTAAAATTTTCATGCTCTTTATGTAACAATTATAAATCTAAAATATGTGTAATTAAGATAATCATCAATCAAAAGAAAGAAAAAAAGAAAAGCAACAATAATCACGATTAATTTCAAACAAAGGAATAAATAATGCACCCGCATGAGTAGCCTAGTAGTGTAGGATTAACTTGGAGTAAATCATAAATTTGAACATTATGGGTTTAACCCTCGATAGTGACTCTCTGATTGAACTGATACTTGTGATTAATGGTTGGTGGATAATTGTCAGTATTTGGAGTCTACTCTGTACGTGTTTGTCCAATAATCCAATGTCATGTGGCTCTGAATTATATGAATTTTCTTGTCAAAAACAATGGAAGAAAGACACACCCATGTATCTCCTTGTTTTAACCAAACTCATCAAATAGGATCTTCCTACTTTGTTGAATCAGAAAATTAGAAGCATTAATGGGTAATGAGCGGTCTATAATGTGGCTTCAACTTGAATCTCTATTTCTTAGCTTCATTCCCATTAATATCTCAGCAAGAATTATGGGTACCCACATAATGTTTTCCTTCTCTCTCTCCATCCCACAGATATCTATATTTCCTATGAGAAAATCGTTAGATCTGTCACAGGAAACATTCTCCTCTAACAGAGAAACGAGAAACTAGGTTTTTCATTCTATGATCTTGTCATTCATCAAGTTGGATGGCATTTTTTTTTTTTTTTAAGTTTTTGGTAAAGCATAGAGTTGAATAGAATTTATTATTTTTTTTTCTAGAAATTGTAGGAACCATGGTACTAGATGAGATGAAAAGGCAGGCATCTTCTTTTCTACGTGAGAAATACAACAATGCAAGGCTGGCCTTGGCCGATGTTACTCAAGCCGAATTGTAAGTATTTTCACACAATATTCTTGGTTTCAAAATGAGAAATTTTAGCAATTTTAAATTTATTTTCACATTCATCGTCTCTTTTAAGGTTGATCGAGGAAGCAACAAATGAGGAACCATGTAGCCCTGATGCTAAAACAATGACCAAAATAGCTGAAGCATCATTTGACATAGATGATTACTGGAGAATTGTGGAAGTCCTCCACAGAAGGTAATTTTGATCCAAATCTGCCTTCGTTTTGTATTCATAAATAGAAATAATAGAATATTTTTTACACGAAGAATTTGAATATTCAAATGATTTGTCTAGTGTTCGAAAACAAATGCAGGTTTTACAGCATTGATTGGAAGAGATGGAGGCAATCCCACAAATCCATGGTACTGCTTGATTTCTTACTTACTCATGGTCCTGCAGACTTTGCCGAAGAATTTCAATTAGATATCAATGTCATTCAAGAG